CATGCTCCAGGCTAACGAAAGAGTGGGAGAAGTCAGATGGAACATTCAAACCATCACTAAGAATGGTTCAGCCTTGGAGAAAATCCAGAAGTCACTTACATTGATGACTCCAGGGCAGTTTGGGCCCACTAGTCGAGTCTTATCCTGCCGAAGCAGTCTGTGTTTAACCCGAACCATGTCCTGCTGAGGAATACCTTCAGTAATGCATACAACTAAGGGCATTTCTGCATCGATTGCTTCGTTGATCGCAGCAGCAGCAAACGGAGGAGGTACGTATATAACAGTGGCAGAAGCACCAGTTTGTTCCTTGGCCTACAACAGACATAACAAAAGATATCAACGATTTAGTGGGGTGGAAAACATTTGACGACTAGTCATTTAAAATATGTCCATTCACAGGCATAAATTAAGTGAATGGGTATGTATTAATTTATTATAATCAAAGTGTTAAATTCACTGAAGACAAGACATATAGAGCACAACTAGGGAACTGAGAACTAACCACTGTCAGGAAAGGATCTGCCCCATGAACACCATCATAAAGACCCTTAGATAACAGTTTGCTAAAAATTCATCATACACACCAGAATCAATCAGAAACTAGTTGCATGCATAAAGTAAGTGTATCCAGACTCTGTGAACTTCACTGTGGAAGCCAAACTCATGCTTGACCACACGGAATGCTCCCTGTTTTACCAGGCTTCTATTTCACGCCTTGCACAGTGACATCCATGGCTCAAATATTTGTCTCTTCAGTGTGAGCACTGAAATAAGTAGACCTTCAGCAGCATTAAATTGCCTGCCCTCCAGTCACTGCTGCAAATTACCTCCTTCACAGAATTAAACACAGGCAGACCCAGATGAGTTTTTCCCCCTTTCCCTGGAGAAATTCCTCCAACTAGATTGGTGCCATAGTCCAACGCCTGCTGGCTGTGAAAGGTGCCCTATGAGAGAGAAAATAAGTAAAGTTAAAAGGCATGTAATAGCAAGTAAAATGAACCACAAAAAGTTGATGTTATCTATAATTCTGAAGGCAATTTATGGCACTTAAATTTGCAATGAGAAGGGAAGTTTTCACTACATATATACAACCAGCTATTTTGAAGAGTGCATCAACGTTTTAAATGGATTCAGAATATGCTATGCTTTTTCTTTCAAATCAGAGCACTGTGGTTGCACACTAAAGGATATTTTCTTGTGCATTGCTAATACACCTGCAGACATAGCAGCCACATTTTGTTTTGCACATCAAGTCTGGCAGATGACAAACACTATAATGAAACAGAAGAAATTAGCATTCTCATCCATGACTAGCTGATGGTTTTAGCAAAAGCAGTCTTCTCCCTTTGCAAACATGTACAAGAGTGAATGTGAGAAAATTATTAAATATCCTGACATAAAACCAGAAATTTAATTCATAGGCATTGACATCCAAAGGCATTTGGGAAAGAGGCGCTTCTAAAACAGTAAGTTTTTTGTAGTTTTTTCCAAATCTCCCTTTACAAAGAAACCTTTTCAGTTGTATACAATAAAAAGGCTTAAGACCAAAACCAACAACAAAAATCAAAAGTAGTATAAAAGAGGTGACTCAAAATCAAGTTTTAAGCTTGTGCACAAGTGGAAAAAAAATATCTAGTCTATGGAACTGAAGAATAAAAAAAAAGTCTATTTGGACCAAAGAAAGGAAACTACAGTGCTGAAGGGACTTTCCTGATCATGAAGTCCAGCTTTCTAACAACACAGGCAAAGCCAGTATATAATCCCTTTTATACGTTATTATGGTTTTTGGCCAACTAACATTCTGAACTGAAAGGGTGATAGAAGAAATAGTTCATACACATACCTGTTTGCCTGTAAAACCCTGACAGATAACCTTTGTATTTTTGTTAATATACAGATTTTTCCTTGATGCCGAGTAGGAGCAGTGTCGTACTCCATTCTGTTGCACTAGAGAAAAAAAGAAAAGAGAGGACAAACCATTAATCCACTGCTTTGTTAGGCTCTCAGAAAACATCCAATCAAGTAAGTGCATATATATTAATCCTTATATCAAAAGATTAATTGATCCAGTAGTTCATGTTTTCAAAAAACAGCTCTGAAAATTGTAAGTATTTAGGACTAAGATATTCTAAGATATTATTCTAAGTTGTAAGTATTTAGGACTAAGATATTCTAAGATTTTTTTTAAGATATTCTAAGATATTAAACACCTGTAGTTCACTCTACCTACTCAGTTTGCTAGGAATCAGGCTCGGTATTTCTCATATTGGGTACTTAATACCAGAACTCCAGTCACGATAAATAACAGACGGAAACATCATCTTAACCACTATTTCCATTTGCAAATGAACATGTTTCTGCCCTCTTCTGCAAAGTGACAAAGCACAATTAAAATCCTGATATCCAAGAGGTTGTTATAATGTAGGTGCTATGTTATAGCTTCTGTGAACATAGCACAGTCCATACTAGACAATGAGAGATACTGAAAAGGTCGAGAGTCCCTCAGCCAAGGTGAAACCTAATGCCAAGCACGACACACAGCAAGAGACCTTTTCCCAACAGATACCTAGCTACGGGAGCCTAGGCATCACTGCTTGAAATGCACTTGGGCTCGTGAGGCAATACAGCTCTCCAGACACTCCACTAGGACCATTTTCAATTTAGTTCTCACAACCCTGGTACTGAAAAAAAAAACCACAACACAACTACAGAAAAACAGCACAGTGCACGCTGCTATCAAAAAGACAAGGAGAATGACTGCATCTCTGCTGAAGGAAAAGATATGTTGACATCAAATGATGAAAAGAGAAATACACAGAATGTTACCATGCAAGAAAGCTTGAGATGAGAAGGAAAAAGAGGTCTTCTGGTATAAAAAGGATGCGCGCATTGCCGATATTCATTGCCGTATGCTTTTTCAAATACCAGAGTTTTGAGGGAATCAGAACCAATTTACGCCCTGCAAGTATTTTAGACAAAAACCATATTTTGTGCTTAGAGTGAACACGGGAGGGTACAATCCTAATACAGAAACTGACACCAGTATGTTACTACTATATACCTCTAGCTCTTTTAAAACTTTTACCACTTAAGATTTGAGGAAGTAAAAAGTGAAGTTGAAATAAAAATAAGAGATTCTGAATCACGGTCCCTGGACTGTTCCACATACTTGCTCAGGCATGCCCGAACAAGAGAGGGATTTTTTTTTCTTTTTCTATTTTTAGAAAGGAAGAAAAAGCTATTAAGTGGAAAAAAGAAAAAAGGTATTCTTCAATATAAACTGCTAATGCACAGACTTTATTGAGATGCATTATTAACATCTTGTAGTAACACAATTTCTATGGGGCAGTAAAAAAGGGCAAAAAACTTAAGATCCACGTATATACACATTTCTATCATAGAGCAACACAGGACTCTTCCACAAGTACTTTTGCCAACTAAATTTTAGTGATACACTGCTTTTATGCTTTAATTCTATTCAAAAAAAGGAGAAGAAAACTAAAACCATGCCAGAAGAAGCTTCCAGACATCAGTGCTACTGCTAAATCTGAAGTCCTTACTCTGGTCTTAAGAAGTGCTGACAGAAAGACAGGACTGCAATTCCAACCACCTCCTGCCGTTCTCTAAGGAGCTGGGGCAACACACCATCTTCGGACCAACATAAAGTAAAATTCAGCTAGATTTTAAAGAAAAATTTACAGACTAGCATGCAGTAAACTTGTAAGAAAAGTGGTAAAAGCACATGTCAGCATATTGACCCTTATGGTTTCAACCTAAATCACATCTTTATCCACACTGTTACAAAACTTTTTACATCAAGGAGAAATATAAAGCAGTAACGGACAAAATATGTCTGAAGCTAAGATTTAATGACTAGGGTTGTGAGTTTGTCTGTGGAAGGGTAGAGGAAAGTCTTGCTGATCAATTGTCACAGCTACAGAAGACAGCACAGCATGGTCTTCGTGCTTGGCCAACGGCTTTCCCTTCCTAGTCAAGGCTGCAATGCTCTGCAGGCTGCACCTGAGCTGCAACACCAAGTCCCTCAAACGCACAACTGGCAATCAGCAGCCTGCTGCCAGCAAAGGAGAGACAAAATAAGCAGAGAAACAGATGACCTGATGGTTAGGAGAACAGGGCATCCGTCTACCTGACCCCAGCCATTCAGGCAATCCCTCACAGGCACGGGATGTGACCGGGTCAAACCCAACCTTGAGAAAAGCAGAGGACGATCCCCCTGTGAAGAAGCTGTTACAGTCAAGACCTACTACCAGCAATGCCTTGCGGAGAACACTCTGGTCTTCCAGAAGTATGCGAGTGCACATGTCAAAAGCCCTCTGATGGGCCTGCAAGGGTAAAGAATAAAGAGGCAACACTAAACTAATTAAAATCTAAGTTTTACACATATTGACTGCGCTACAACGCTGACAAATCCACCTGCAAAATAAGACAGGGCAGCTTGCCAGGCACACAGCACGCACTCAGTAATTTCAGTATTTGGGGGAACAACAAAAAAAAAAAAAATCCAACCTTCGACAAATAGTCACTCCCTTCTCTCTGCCGTAAAAGCAGTCCCAATTCAGCTGTCTGTTCCATATCTATTTTCAGATATTTATAACCTTGCACAAAAATGTTTTTGAAAGCTTAAGTTTGTCAATTCTCAGTTTTGAGAAGTCTATATAGATATATTTTTCAAGGATAAGAAGCTTTTGAGCATTTTCCAAGCTATCAAAGTACAAAAAAAAAAAAAATAAATTAGGCACTTATAACTGGAAGACAGCTTAAATTCCAAGCTTTGTATGGATTTACTCTTCAAAACTGTATGTGCTGCTTACATGACTGAAGAGTCCTGGTTCAGAGAAAATACAAAGAAGTTCAAAGAAGCCTGGCCATAGGCTTGAGCCATTTGCTGTCTTCGGAGGGAGGCAGCTTAGCATGGGCACATGTCTAGGGAACGATACATTTTTGAAGAAATTTAAAAAAAAAAAAAAAACAAAACACATCTTGTACTTTCTGGGCTGGATGAGTCTGAGTTTGGGGGGGGGGTTTAAACTGACACGATACAGCTCTCTATTTTCTCTCCATGGCCTTGTCTGAAGCAGAAAAGTTTGCCCCAGTTATCAGCACAGTAGGAGCAGCAGGGGCATCGGTCAAGATGAGGTTCTGCTATATGTGGCGCAAACAGCAAGTCCCAGGTGCAAACAGCTGGCAATTTAACTAGTTAATACAGATATAAGATGAGAAGGAAACAGGTGGAAAATCAAAATCATATGCCTAAGTTCACAGCAGGTAAGAGTCAGAAATAGAATCCAAGTCTCAATTTCTACCCAAGACCTTCATTCACTAGCTTGTACTGCTTCACAACTTCCAACGCCCGTTCAGGCAATTGCTTTTACCAGAACAAATCAGGGTGCCCAAGTGCAAATGCATGGTCCTCAGGAAAACAGGAAAAAAAAAAAAAAAAAAAGTATTTGCTTTTCTAGTTACCAGGATTCAGCCATGAACCAGTAAGAGCCAAACTCATTGGGGATGCTATTTTAATGCATACGACTAAATTACAAGCCAAATTACAAAGGTGCAGGCTCCAGATGAAGCTCTAGAGCATAAGGACAAGTCTTATCAAATCCAAATCTTACCGAAAGCACACTGAACTGCGTTATTTTGTATAATCAGAGGTCTAACATAACATTACCGTGTCCAACAAAGGCCCATCATAGACCTTTTGAGAAGAGTATTAAAGCTAAAATAAGAAACTGGATAACCTTTCCCAAGCAATCCCTTTCACTTCAGCCCCATCCCTGTTCTGTTTTGCATACTGTGTGGTTCAAAAAGTTATGCAACTAACAAGATGCATTTATTTTGGCTTTCCAGTACTTTTGCTTCTACATAGCTAAAGAGATGTACTGTGGCAAGAACCTATTTTAGTCCATTGTACAGGACAACCAAGTAGCCATGGAAAGTACTCAAATACCAAACCCCTGCTGTCGCAGGATAGATTTGAAAAGTGCGATATACATTTAGCAAAGGGGTATAAGCCTGTATATAAAACGTCAGTTGTTTTACAGTAAAGAAAACTTACCAGAAACTAAGAGAGAGAATTACCTCCAACACACACGCTGCCAGTAGTTACTCTTGCATTTCCAGGGAATGCGGCCACAGCCAAGCCCAGGACTCACCGTAGTCCCAGTCACAGGAAAACCCAGCTACATTTATTTCTTAAAAGAAAACTCACAATTTGTAGCCTTGAGCAGCGCTTTAAGCTCATTTGTTTATTACAGCTAAAAAGCCTTTTTAGAAAAATGCACTATTATTTATCAAACATGAATTTCCATGTTAAAAAGAAACGTGACCCATTTAAAGCACACATCGAATGTAAATACTGCTTACACTGAGCTTTCAGGTACTCACTGAGCAGCAACACCTCCCAAGCACAAATCTCATTTTAAATGACTGATACAACCCAAGCTACATTTGCCTAGCTTGTTTGTGTGGTGTAAGCCAGCTGACAGTAGAGATACTAAGAGCTAAATCTCTTCCTCACTCAAACTCCACAAAGCTGAAAACTTGTTATTTTCAGGACTTCTTGCAAGATTCCCTAGAGCTACGGACAGGAATCCAAGTCAGTGTGCCTCACTC